CCTCAATCTCTCTCTTCGTCTGTGTTTCTCAGTGTGTTTTCCTTCCTTTCCTTTCTAGGCCAGCTCTATGTATGTCTGTGCTTTAAACTTAACTGAAAAGTGTCTGAAATAGTTTGGTGATGCTTTCTGAGGGGGGCTCGTGGTAAAAAGGCAGAACACGACTTCTTTATGAAAGCCGTGCCTTCACTTCTCCACTCGTTCACCTCCCATCCATCCTTTCATTCCTGTCACACTTCACTCCAGCATCTCATACACACACACACCCAAATCAAAACCCCACCTTCATGTTCCATTCATCCGCTGAGTCTTCTACTCCTTCACTAGTCTTCCACTTCAGTGGCTTTTGTTATTTTTCTCTCCTCTGTCTTTGTTTGTTTGTGTTGTGTGTTGCTTTTTTCTTGTATAAAAAAAGCTATTCTTTCTTGTTTCAGTGCGTCAGTCAGTCTGTCTGTTTATCTTTGTCCATGTGGCCGTCTTCCTGGCTGTCTGGCTGCAGGTGGAAAGTTGGGTCACCCAGTGGGCGACCTCGTCAAGTGGCTTCTGCTCCGCGTGGACCTAACAGGAGGGTTCTTGTACTGCTGTCTTTTTCTTCTCTGTCTGTCTCTTTGTGTCTCTTTGTGTAATTAATGTCTTTTTCTTTCTGTTTACACTTCTGCAAAGATGTGATCCTTGAGGTTGGAGAAGTGTTTCTTTCTCCCTGCTCTCTGTCTTTTGTTTTCTAAAACAAAGCTTCTCCTGTTTCTAACTGCCTAACCACTGCTAACCTCTGACTCCGTCCTTCTGCATGCAGTAATGCACACAAACTCCCCGTTTCCCAGACCATCCATCTCTCCATCATCAGGGCTGTCTCACCAGAGCTTGCATCAGCCCAGTGAATGCAGAAAGCTTGGTATCTTACTATTTACCAGTATAACAGCTGTATTAGGACTGGAGTGCAAATACATTTTGTCAAATCCATTTTGAATCACAAATGTCCAGTCTTCTTAAAGTCCATCTAACTAACTTCTCCCTCCACTTTTCTTCACCCCTCCTGCCCTGTCTGTGAAACTACATCATGTATGGTCACGACAGCAGGAGACAGACTCAGCAGTCAGGTAGCTCAGCAGTAATATCAACACTTACAGAATATATAGCCCATAGGGCCCATGGGTTTTGATGGCATTGAAGTGACACAGGTCCTTTTTCCTACCTAACGCAGTAACACAAGCGAATTATACAAAGGAATGTGTTTTTCCCAGTAATATTGATACAGTGCTAATGTTCTGGCCACTATCGCATCACATTCAATGTTACACAATTGACACGTGACCATGGGTTGTATGTGAAATGAGAAATTTCATGTTACACTGTGACAGTGGAACAAACTCCCCACTGTTCTAGTTGTGTTGATAGTGTAAATTTTAACAACGTCTCACTAAAATGCTACATGGACGGCTGTGTGGCCTGGACCAAATCTTTGCAAAAATTTGCAAACTGAGCAAAATTACTTCATTTGCTAATCCAGGAAAATGTGCTGGTTTCTGATAACGGGACAACAAAACACAAACACTGTAGTCAGTTGGAATGACTCCAAATGACCAGAACCAGAATAACTCAATACAAAGATACAAAATTGAAAAGCTCGCTAATGATTATGACATACTGTATATACGTTAGCCATCTTTAGCAGGAAGAACGCCACATCTGCATTCAATTTTAGTCCTTTGGATCTTTTTAGTGCTCTCCATCTCTGACATGCCAAACTAATATTAATCCAGGTTTTGGTTTTAATGAACTTCAGTATCATTAGGTTGGTATGCTCTAATCCTAGTTTAGATGGAAAATCCCAGTGCCTAAAAATTTACATACAGTAACTGAGTCAGGCTCCACCTGCTTTTGGTTTAGTAGAGACACAGACTAGGGGAGAGCATATTAACTACACAGACAGCAGACTATAGTTCAGTTGGGAAACTTATATTTGCCCTTTTAAAAAGCTAAAGCGACAGTCAGCACTGTCTACACTCCAGGAGTTATGTTGGCATACAATTTACATCGAGTGATGTCATTCAGTGCCAAAGCAGGGAGTGATGTGTCTATTTTGTTGCACGGTTGAAAGTGAGGGGATGGAGGTCAGGGCGGTGGATGGATGTGTCACTCATCCAATCCTCATGTGCAAGACAGGGGTTTGTCCTGTGACAGCCCAGCAATTAAACCTTTTTGGGGTTTTTTAACAGTCACCACAGTCAGTCCCTAACCTCTACCAACTGTTTAAGTTCCTTAAACTTCACAGAATATTAACTTTCTGCCTGGTGAAAGTAAGAAACTTGCCAAAAGAAGCTATTGTAAGCTGTTTGTTTCTAATAAAAGAAGAATGAAAAATGTTATCAACCTAAAACCCCCAAGCTAAGCTGGACCGGAAACAAATTCCTTGTGTGTGACATACTTGGCCAATAAAGGTGATTATTATTAAATGTCCGTTCTGTACTTCTCATTGGCATTGTTGTATCCCGATTTTCCCCCAGTGGTAAAGGGTTGATTCACCCAAATTTTATGTCATATTTTCTCAGTTAAAACTACAGTACTTGTGATACTTATGCAATCACACAAATACACACTGAATGGATGCCCCTTTAAACTCAGTATATTTATTCAAAAAGACAGTAAACTGTCTTTCCCCATCCACCAGTCTCCTAAAGTCCCTCATTCATGACGGATCTGAGCTTAATACGTCTGACATTTTGTCCCCATTAGTGAAAATGTGTATTTTTTATTTCTACATGATTATTGCAGTGCCTGACATATACAGTTAATTTGGTCAAATGACTGAGTTGATTGAATGCTTTGTCTTAGGTTAATCTCCTCCTGAATGGGATGCATTTTTGCTCTTTTGCTCTCCCACCGTAGCCTGATAAATTAGCATGCATGATAGAGCCTGAATAAAATGCTCATGCAGATTGGTGACACATTACCTCAGTCAACAAATCCACAATTTTATAATTTTGGCCAGAGTTGCTGTTCACTTTTCCATTGTTGCTGTGACAGAGGTTGATAAAATGAGAGAGCTCTGTCCGTCCTCCAGGCGTGTTTATGGAGCTGAAGACTAAAGTTATCACCGGTTGTCAGCATCAGGAGGCACCAGCTTTCATTATGTGGCCATTTGTGCTGTGCTTGAATTGAGCAGTGGAAATGGCAGCGCGAGCACTTATGTGTTTTGCTTTTGTTTCATTATTTTTGGCAAATAGTGTATTAGTCCTCTCCCCTCCCTCTTTTATTTTATTTTACTTTCCTTCTCTTTCTTCCTCCTTCCTTCCCTTGTGCATCGCTGCCGTCAGCGACTGCTGCTATGTTTCTTTAATGCATTTTTATTGACATTTGCATATTTTTCAAAAACAGAGCGCCACAAACACCACCCCTGATCCAGTTTTAATTAAACATCAAAAGAGACTGGCATAGGTGCCCACTGAGACTGTTGGTTTAGTCAGACAGATGATATGCATGTGTGTGTGTGTGTGTGTGGCCTAGTGTTACTTATGTTGTGGAGACGTAAATCTGTTCACACACATTGTGGGGACTCGACGTCCTTACGAGGACAAGAATCGAGTCCCCAAACTGTAAATCATTACGTGATTTGGTTTAAGGTTAGTGTCAGGTGAGGTAAAGGTTAGGACAAGTCTTCAGGAAAAGAGCTGTAATGTCCCCTGAAATGATGGAAGCACAGCGTGTGTGTGTGTGTGTGTGTGTGTGTGTGTGTGTGTGTGTGGGTAAATTTCTTTCTTTCTTGGTGCCTCATGTTCTTTAGATGTTTTTGCTGCCAGTGTGTTAGTGAGACTGAGTCACTATAACTGACACTAAGGTCCCTCTCTGTAATAGCACTTAAAAGATAACCCTGACAAACATCCAAGGGATGCATGCAGTACGTGTACAGTATGTGTGTGTGCCTGTGAGTGTCTTTCTGTCTTGCAAAAGGACTGACTTGTCAGAAATAAATCTGTAGCTCCCACTCATCATGCACCAGGAACACACAGGCGCACGCTGTATTCAGTGTGAGAAACCCTCTTCCATTGTGCTGTATTGTGCTGTGCTCTGACAGTGACTGACAGAGTCAAAAGACAATTGCATAATGACTGCTGTGTCACCATGGTGCACACACCACACACACCACACACACATACACACACACACTGACTTGAGGCTTCAGACAAAGTTTCATATATCTGAAAATGAAGAGTTTGATATATTAAATTATCATTATTTGATAAATACTGATCTCTTTTTGGTTTCACTGGATGACTGGGGCGGGGTGATCGAGTGCCCTGCCAGCTGTCAAACGGATGAAATTTTCCAGTTCTAGCACTGTCGTAAATCTGTTTCATGTGGGCGACAGCGTCTAATGTCACCCCCATCCACCCTCTGCGTGTCCCACTCCCCACATGTCCCTCATGTCTGTATTGTCCTGACTGCTGGCTGCCATCCCTGGAAAACAATTTGATCGATATCTAAAACTCTCCAATTTAGAGATGTGCAGGCACCACATAGCATTTAACTGATTATGTCGCCTCCAGGCAGAGTCACAAATCTTCAAAATGTCTGTGAATCCTTGAACCTGTGAAAGATTTACTGGAACTGAATCAGAGCAGGCTGCTGGGAAAGGGCATGAGCAAGTTCGCGGCCTTGAATTCTGAGATAGAATATAAAAGTCCTGTCACACCGGAGGACAATGAAATGTTTATCTTCATCAGACAAGCAGATGAGATGACCCTGCTGCTCTTCTGTTAAAAAGATCAGGTTATTGTTTGCTTATTTATTTATTTTACTGTCAGCTATCTTTTCATCATACAATGCATGCAATCCTGATGACTGCCTGTGGTGTAATTTACATCACCTACATTACTGAGTTTTTGTAGCTCCTCTCTAATTAACACCTACAGAACCTGCTTACATTTGATGTCCG